TTTCGCGTCTTGCTTAAATCCGCTCATTTGCATTAGTTCAGGTTTCGATTTTGAATTATTTTTGGATTTGGGTTGAAATCGACTGAGGGTCATAGTTTGGGTTGGAAAAACCCGCCAGCAAATAGTTGAGGTTGAAAAATGCCGTTTTCCCAATAACTTAACACACATAATAATGAAAAAATGGAAAAAAAAAAAAATGACACACCCGGTGGGACTCGAACCCACAATCGTTTGATTAGAAGTCAAACGCCTTATCCATTAGGCCACGGGTGCTTTACTTGCACTAGTTTATTGAGAATGCGATAAGAACCAGAATAGGTGCTTTACTTGCACTAGTTTATTGAGAATGCGATAAGAACCAGAATAAATAATATTACAAACGATTAAAAGCAAGCACGCCCGGTGGAACTCGAACCCACAATTAGAAGTCAAACGCCTTATCCATTAGGCCACGGGCGCAATACGCATATTGTAGTGAATATAATTTTATATATTTAGTTGTCCCTTCATAGCTTCATAATAGGGAGTGTTTTTTCATCTAATTTCAACCAATTAGAGTTTTGTGTACAAGTAGTAGTTATTGAAATTAAAGGTCAAGAACTGTGATAATAGTTGTAAGAAGAAGAGAATTTCTGTTAGACATACTTACGTGAAAGTTTAGCTAGGTATAAACCACAGTACACAATGTCTTTTTCTTCTTCTTTTTCTTTCCAAAGTACTCATTGTTTGTACATTCATTACTTTTAAAAACTAAACAATCTTCGTCTAATGAACTTCTTATTTTTGGCTGAATATGGTACCCAGTGGAGTCCAATGACAAACAATTAAATCCCGATTTTAATTTAGGGTGGTGAGGGAACGAATATACAGTGAGCTAGACACGATGACTTTCATGTTGGTCGAGGCTCAATAAGTCATGCAAAATCAATCAAACGACCAAATTAAATTATCTTGTAATATCATAATTATGAGTTATGACTCACCATTTCAAGCAAAACTCTTATATCTGAAAATGAGAGGAAGACATTGGACTAAACCAATTTTTCAGTTTAATTGTTGTAACACCTGTTTCAAACGTTTTATATTGATGGTATTAATTATTCTCTTCGTTCACCCGTTACATCAATTGAAAATTTTAATTGCTATCATCAAAGGTTTTATAATCTATAATCATACAAAGACAGAATCATAATGGTAATATATATCTATGAAGGATTTTTGATGATATGTATTTCGTTGGAAAGCTGAAAAATATGCATATTAGGATTTTCTTTCTTTTCCCTAAACGGCCAAACATAAGAGCAACGTAGGTTATTTGACGTGCGTGATTTAACTTAACTGTAACGGAAGCGAATTTAACTTTGGTTCGGTTTGTATTTAACCAACCGAATCACGCAATTTAACTTTGGTTCGGTTTGGGTTTTCTGAATAAGCTTTTTTTTTTTTTTTTTTCTACCCTTACCACTGTCTAACGGAGCCGTTGTGACGGCCCATCCCCTTTTGCGCTAGTTCACGCTTTGACGCCTTCTCCTTCCGTTTCTTCGTCCTCTCGCCGCTAATTAACGCCGTCTCTGGTTTCTACCGCCGCCGTAACCCTAACGGCATCTTTAATGGCGTCGTGTGATGACGATTTCTCTCTACTTGGAGACGATCAGTCAAACCCTAATCAACATCACCACCACCACCAAGTTCTTCATCACACGCCCTACGCTCCTAGACGATTCAACCCGAAACCATCGAATCAGATCCATTTACCGCATCACCAGAGGAACGGTGACGAGGACGACGAGAACGATGTCGTTGTAGAGGCGTCTTCTGCTTTTCACGGTGTTGGTGTTAATCCTTTCGCTGGTGACGAAAATTCGAATCCATATGATGATAATAACGCAGGTGTCGACGAAGACGAAGATCTCGATGCCAACAGATCCAGAATCGGAGGTGTTCGTGTTGAGAAGAGACAGAGTCAGGAGGAGCTAAGTGACGGAGGAACAACGAATGGTGGTGAGACCACACCTTACGGTAGCTTCAAGAGGCCGAGGACATCGTCTTCCTCAGCTGGTGAGTATAGGAAAGATAGGGAAGAGTGGAGCGATGCGGCGATCGCGTGTTTGTTAGATACGTATTCGGATAAGTTCACACAGCTTAACCGAGGGAATCTGCGGGGAAGAGATTGGGAAGAGGTTGCTTCATCGGTGAGTGAGAGGTGTGAAAAGCTGAGTAAGAGTGTAGAACAGTGTAAGAACAAGATTGATAATCTCAAGAAGAGGTATAAGCTTGAAAGGCATAGGATGACCAGTGGTGGAACATCAGCTAGTCACTGGCCTTGGTTTAAGAAGATGGAAGATATTGTTGGCAATTCCTTGGCAACGAAAGGCGCGTCTGATGAAGATAGAAGCGGAAGCTCAATGGGGAATACTGTGAAGCCAGCGAGGAGGTAATGCAGTAACGATCAGTAGCAACTCTGTTGTGTTGTTCTTGTTTTGTGCTCTTGTGAGAGTGAAAGTTTTTGGTTTGGTATTCTTGTTTCAGGTATCCCCTGGTAACATATAACCCTGGAGTTCAGATTAATAACGTCAAATCCAAGGCCACATCAAACCCAAGATGGCGAAGAGTGGTTTTGAAAATCAGTGGTGCAGCTCTTGCCTGCACGGGTCCCAATAACATTGATCCAAAGGTTTCTTTCAGATTGTGTAATCTTTTGTTGATGCATTTTCTCTATCTGGGTCAGTATTAACTTCTCTTCTTAATTTTTTAGGTAATCAATCTGATTGCAAGAGAAGTTGCGATGGCTTGTCGTCTTGGTGTTGAGGTAACACTTAGTTCTAGATTGTTAGTGTTTATCCTTTCTCAGTTAAATGGTATTCATAGTTTGTTTCTTCTAGGTAGCGATAGTTGTTGGGAGTCGGAACTTTTTTTGTGGCAGCACATGGATAACTGCCACTGGTTTGGATAGAACCACTGCATATCATATCAGGTTGGTCAAAATATTTCAGTTTCTTTTACCTTCAGAATGTATGTATTCTGCTTTGTTTAAAGTATGATTGCTGTAGTATGATAATTGAACTGGCTGGTGCAAATACTGTATGAGAATTTTATCTGCTATTATGATGGGTTATGTTTTCCATATTGATATATCGTGCTCTGAAGTTCTCGCATATCTAGTTGTTGTTTTTCATCATTTCAAATGGTCTCACATATGATATCATCATTGCCAAAACATCCATGCTCTTGCAACAAATTAGTTTTGTCTTCTATGTTCTGTTTTGCTGGGAAGAGGTTGTTCAGCCCATGAAATCTCTGTTTTGTAACAGTATGATGGCATCTGTGATGAACTCTGCTTTACTCCAATCATCCCTGGAGAAAATAGGGGTTCAGGCACGGTTACAAACTGCAATATCGGTTCAGGGTGTCGGGGAGCCTTACAATCGTCAACGAGCCACCCGGCATCTAGATAAGGGAAGAGTAGTAATATTTGGTGGAATCGGTGCAACGCTTGGAAATCCACTCTTATCATCTGATGCATCTGCAGCCCTTCGAGCTATAGACAGTACAACTCTCTTGCTCTCACTTAGTGTTGTTCCTTACTGCACCAACTGAAACTAACTTAGAATTCATATACTTCTCTTTCCCATTAGTAGCTTGGTCCTAAGTGCTAACCGAAGATCTCTTGTACATGCTATCAGTCAATGCGGAGGCAGTGGTGAAAGGAACAAACGTTGATGGTGTTTATGACTGCCATTCACAAGATAGTAACGTGACATTTGAGCACATATCATTTCAAGATTTGGCTTCTAGAGGTCTTACGTCAATGGATACAATGGCCCTTAACTTCTGTGAAGAGAACAGCATCCCAGGTCGAGATTCTTTTCCTCTCTTTTATCGTCTTTAGCTAGTCCGTTTTAGACTTAGATCAGACACTGAGATAAATGGTTAAACCTAGCGACCTAGAGACAATTAACTAATGGATTGATTACTCGAGATGGGACCTCTAGAATCATGATTTCATTCAGTTGATAATAGATTAATATCTCTTTGGATACATGCTTGCGATATACTTAGCCCGCAATGATTGCTTAGCACATGATATTAGAACAAAACCTTGAATGTAAATGACCTGATTCCTTCTCCTCTGGACTTGACAAAAAGCAGTTGTGGTATTTAACTTTCTGGAAGCTGGGAACATCACAAAAGCGTTATGCGGAGAACAAGTGGGTACTATGATCGATAGAAGTGGAAGGGGTGTGAGTTAGTAGTAGTAGTATATGTGCCTTCTTAATTCATACGACTTGTATAACTTTATAAACTCCTTTTTTTTCTTTTGGTAAGTAATTATATTTCATAGATGAGTTGACTAGAAAAAAGGAGAGTTGATCCATTCACAAGTGAAGATTTTGTAATATTGAAGATGTTGTTGACACTTGACAGTGTTTCTTTCTCCATCTTCGTTGACTGACTTCTTCTTTCTGAAAGATTGTATTTGATTTTCAGCATTAGATTTTGACATTCGCTTTACAGATAATCCCTTTCACAAACAAATACTATTAGAAAGCCACTGTAAAATAAATACAGACAAGTGTATCTTAACCAATAATAATATAGATTTTATAAGATTTTCTCGCAACGATCAATTTACACGTCATAGACGAATTGATAAAAGTCAATTACCGATTTCAGCTGTCAACGGGTTTTAATATCATAATAAGAGGCCCATTTTATAATTAATCAGTGGGGCATAGATTTTATAAGATTTTCTCGCAACGATCAATTTCCATATTTTTTTGCTGTCTAACTTTCCTTTTTTTTGGTTTGAGTGATTTCCTTTTATTCATGAACATATAGAAAATGAATTTCCTTTTTCTGCTTTATAAACTCATCTCTTCCTCCTTGAGAAATTAAAATTCTCATTCTTCGAAAGAGAACAAAAGTTTCATGACGCCGAGACCTATGTGACACGTTCATGGCACATGAATGATTACTCTGTTGAAATTCATGTGAGGAATGAAGGATCGACCCTGAAGATCGATGATGGAGAACAAAAGGAGGATATGGGTTTTGATTGAGAGATCAATTGAGTTCCTCGTACAGAGGTTTGCGAACTTGGTTCTGTTGAAATATCAGAAACTGACATTCATCAGGAGAAGAAGAAGAAGCTAACTAAAACAAATCAAAACGTCAAGAGCACGACGAAGCTTCTCTAATGGCCACTGCTTCTTTTTTATTCAGGTAATTTCCTAAATTTATTTCTTGCTTGCGTCTCTCTGTGTTTTATTCTCCGTATATCGTCTCTCTTTTTGCGTTTTCTGTTTTTATTTTTTTGGATTTAAAATTAAACTTTGAGGTTCTTCATGCAAATAATATTTGAAATATATTTTTTTTGTTATAACTAAAATTATTACATATATAAAATATTTTTAATCTAAAGAAATTTTAAGTGTTAAATTCTAAAATTGTGAAAACTAACCGAACTTGACATCCCGTCTTTATTTGGTCCTTAAGAGGTGTTCTAAGTTCAATTTGTTTACACTTAATATGAATTTAACACTTAAGTTTCTAATAAATATAAACTACTACATATATAAAATATTTTAAATCTAAAAAATTTAAGTGTTAAATTCTAAAATTGTGAAAACTAACCGAACTTGACATCCCATCCTTAGTTGGTCCTTAAGAAATACTTAAGTTTCTAATAAAAATATAAACTACTATATATATATATAATATATAATATTTTCAATCTAAAAAAATTTAAGTGTTAAATTCTAAAATTGTGAAAACTAACCGAACTTGACATCCCGTCCTTAGTTTGTCCTTAAAAGGTATATATATATGTTTAAACTTAATGTGAATTGAGAAATTGTTAAAAATGCCCTTTTTCAATACTCTTTTTCAAAAATGCCCCCTTTGAGAGTCCATTTTTAAGTTTGCCCTCTTTTAATTTTTAATGACCATTTTACCCTTATTTGAAATAAAATTAGGTCCACAAAATACAAAATATTTTTTGGCAGGAAAAGTGATCCCGCAATTTTCCCGCCAAAACACTTGTAAAAAACCTTTAAAATACCTTGTAAAATTTTCCCGTAAAAAATTTTTCCCGCCAAAAATTTTTTTTTGGCGGGAAAAGTGATTCCACAATTTTTTTGGCGAAATTTTTTTGGCGGGAAAATTTTTGGCGGGAAAAATTTACAAGGTATTTTAAAGGTTTTACGAAGTATTTACAAGTGTTTTGTAAGGTTTTACAATGTATTTTAAAAGGTTTTACAAGGTACTTATAAAGTTTTATAAGGAATTTATAACTTGTAAAAAACTTGTAAAACCTTATAAAAAACTTGTAAAATCTTATAACTTGTAGAACCTTATAAAATAGCTTGTAAAATCTTATAATATCTTATAAATACCTTATAAATACGTTGTAAAACCTTTTAAAATACATTGTAAAACCTTATAAATACCCTGTAAAAAACCTTTAAAATATCTTATAAAATTTTCCCGCCAAAAATTTAACGCCAAAAAAATTACGGAATCACTTTTCCCGCAAAAAAAATTTTTTAGCGGGAAAATTTTTTGGTGGGAAAAAATTTTACGGGAAAATTTTAAAGGTTTTTTACAAGTGTTTTGGCGGGAAAAATTGAGGGATCACTTTTCCCGCCAAAAAATATTTTGTATTTTGTGGACCCAATTTTGTTATATTTCCTTATATATTTGTGATATCTTTTATTAAAAGAATGGTAATTTAGTCATTTTGTACATAAAAAAGGTATTTTTAAAAATGGACAGCCAAAAAGGGCATTTTTGAAAAAGGGTATTGAAAAAGGGGTATTTTTGTTAGTCTTTTTGTGAGTCTCCCTAAAAATAAACTATCACCTATATAAAATATTTTCAATCTAGAGAAATTTAAATGTTAAATTCTAAAATTGTGAAAACTATTTAAACTTGACATCCCGTCCTTAATTGGTCCTTAAGAGGTGTTCTAAGTTCAAAATGTGTTTATACTTAATTTGAATTTAGCACTTAAGTTTCTAATAAAAAAAGGTTTTCAACTTTTGATTTTGGGATTTAAATCAAATTTTAATGTTTTTTGCAAATAATCTTAAAGCCTTTTGATTTAACTAAACTATACAAAATATTTTCATTTCAAAGATTTTTAAATGTTAGAGTTTTAGGTGTGAAAACTAGCCGTATATGACATCATTTTTTAGAATTTTCTTCTGTTTGTTGGAGGTGTTATACGGTTTATTATGATATAGCTTTAATTAAAAACGTTTTCATCTTTTAACCTTTTGGATTTGTGACTATTTTACGATCTTTTTTTGTAATGTTTTAAGTAAACACTATCAGATCAAATGTCAAAACCTGATGCTGAAAATCAAAATATAATCATCCGATCATGATGTGAACAAACATGTAATGTATGGGCCGAACAGTATAAACATACACACAAAGGCCCAATTTGTGTTACAGCCTCGAATGGATAATTACGACATTGCGTTATAGAGAGACTCAAATAAAAAAATGAGACGTTTCCGTAATCTACGAGAAAGACAACGTAGTCGCTAGAAACTTCGTCAGATATTTTTGGCCCCTCCCTTCTTATCCCCTCACGCACCTCTACTCTCTCTCTCTCTCTCTCTATATAAACAAAGACTCGTTGCTCATTCTAAAACGTAAACGCACAAGTAGTAGTGAGGAAGTACTGCGACTTTGATTGATTTGTTAACCCCTAACTTACAAAAAGATGCAGACGGTATCAGTTGACGAAACCAAAAACACGGTGGTGATACGGGCGGTGCACAAGAACGAAGAAGGACGGAAATCTGTTGATAAGTTCGAATTGAAGACACGTAATCCGGAGACGATCAAGAGCGTTGAGAGGAAGCTTATGGAGAAAGGTGTTCAACGGATGGATCGTCATCCTTCCGATGGGATTCCTCTCAGGCGACCGCCGCCTAAGTCCGGTCACGGTGGGAAGTACACGTGGGAAGGACCTGATCGGATGGAGGATTACGAGATGCAGCCGGATCCACCGGCGATAGATGAAGGAGATCCTAATTATGATGAGGAACAGGCGAAGAAGATTGATGATGACGTGGCGGTTGAGCTTGTGAAAGGAGAGGTTGAGGTGGCGAAGGAAGCGCCGGCTGGTGTGGCGAGGGTTGACGTTGATCCACGCTTGGTCAGTCGTTGAGTGTTTGATAGAGGATAAAGAAAAATGTTGGGGCGAATGTGAGAAAAAGGAAAAAATGTGGGGGTTTAAGTTTTAATTTCGAGTTGTTGACATGTGATGATGTTTTAGTGTAATGACGTGGAAGTATCTCTGTAAAAAATAATAATTGATCTGATTGCATTGAAATCCACCATTCGGTGGTCTTTTTCATTATCCAACATAACTCTCTCTTTTGTTACTTATTGTTGTCATGTTGTGTTGGTCTTTTTTTTTAGTATATTGATCCGATCTGTTAGATAAGTCCCGTGTTATTTATGAGCACAAATGCCAAATTGCATATGGAAGGGAATTAGTGACTTGATTTATATGGGTGATTTTACGTCATTACGATTACAAGGATAGGATGGATCTAAGAGCAATATTATTGGAAGGTGGTTAACTTTAGTTCTTAGTAATTTTTTAGTATTAAAATTATAAATTTTAGTTAATAGTTAAGATTTATCTTTTACAAACATTTTTTGACTTTTAGCTAAGAAATTTTATTTATTAATTTTATCAATAATAACCATTTGCTATTTAATTAAATACTTTTTAATATTTAAGATTTATCTAAGAATTTTTTAAGAGTTTATTGATAATCATGGTTTAACAATGTGCGGGAAAAAATGTTGTGATGTTCCAATGTATTGGCAACTATAATTAAGAGAAAAGACTAATTGTAATCCAAATCCAATCAATGTATGGACGACAGTTGGCGAGAGGACAATGTGTTTTAGTGACTATGAATAGTATTTGCGTGAAAATAATTAAATATAGTTGAGGATAATGGAACATGGGAACGAAATGGCATTTAATTATTTATGATGAAAAGAAGTTAGGTGTGTTCTATTAAGGGTCCGAATGGTGACAGTGTATTTAACTGTGCGGAAAAAGCGGTTTATAAGTGCAGTACGGTCTAACTGCGGTATATGCAGGAAAAATAAATTTGCGGAACAAATGTGGTTTTTATAGAATAAGCGGTACGTAATAATGTTTGATTAGTGAAAATATAATTTGCGGGATATATATATAATTTTAATATTTATTTTTTACAATCACAAATAAATAATTTTAAAACAAATATTAATATATTTATATTTAAATTGTTTACTAGAGTTAATTAAATTTAAATTTTTTCATATAATGAAGTGAGTTAAATTGTTTCTCAAAAAGACACTTTTAAAAAGTAAATCATTTTTAAGATTTATTAACATCTTAAAATAGAAAACATGTTTTTTTGTAGTTATTAAACTCTTTTATTAATCATAAATTAAATAAATAAAAAGATTATTAAGATTGAATGAGAAAAAGATTTGAGGCAACTGATTTTAATTGGACCTAACGAACAGCAAATCACCATGCAGACTTTCTAGCTAAGAAGCAAATATATGAATTATCATAATTTTGTCAATATATTGATGCTATGTTCACTAAATATATTGGTATATTACTTTAATGGAGATAAATTTTGAGTTAAAAAAAATAATTAAATAAATAAAAATCAATATATGTATATCCAGTGCGGAATTCAATGGACCACTGGATAATTGATGGTTAGAAAAATATTTGTGGTCCATTGGTTAAAACGTTGATTTGAAAAACGCAACAGTTTTTTGCTTTTCTTTTTCAAAAAACACAAATTGCAAAGAAATTGCATGATTGGTGACACAAAAGCGTTTTCTAAAAACAACACTTGGAATCCACACTTTTCTTTGTCACCATTCAAGGCCTAAGAGCACGTTTATCAATAAACCCCATTGAGTATCATTAGAATTTAATTAGTTGTTTAATCTATGATATTTAAAAAGATTTTTGTTAAATTTGTATGTTTAATGGTGAAACTCAATGGGTATCACTAAAATAAAAATAAAAAATTTATAATTTATTTTTAGAAATTAAAATAAAAAAAAATCATTGTTCTCAATGGCTTGTCCTACTTTGCTTAACTTGTAAACAAGAATCCTATACTTAAATCATACTACTTTTACTTTCATTCCAGTCAATAAGAATCCTAGACTTCAAGAAACATAAGAAGAAAATGTAGTTACATTCACCTGCAACTACACCTCTATTGACTTTCAATTTCTTACATCAATGTTCCCATTAAAACTTCAAACTTAAAAGTGCTCACAAGTCTAAAATGTGAAGACAGAAAGAACCATTGATAAGTCGCTGCAGATACAAGTTGTTACCTTTTCACTCTGATCATTTTATATTTTTGGTGTAAAAGCAAAAGTCATTAAGCTTTTGATGTCCCACTTTCCTCCTCAAGTATTTTTCCATCCTTTGGAACCAAGCATGGAATCCCATCTTTGATCTAGCGTGTTAAGAGAAGCAAAATCAAGTCTTTTAACACTAAATCGTGAACATATAGTGAAAGCTAATAGAAGAGGAAGAATATGATTAAGAAGCAAAACCAAGTCTTAAACACTGAATCGTGATCATGAAGTAAAAACTAAAAAGAACAAGAGGAATATGAGTAAGAAGACAACGGCCCAAATCAACCAAGTGCAATTCCAAATCAACCAAGTGCAATTCCAATCAAATAAACTTCAATTGAATCGACATTGTGAAGCAGAGCAAGAACTCAGATACATAAAATTCCAATTTAACTCAGAACAACGGTTCAATCATATCTAAATTCTCTAACTGAGCATCTGTTAATCCAGTTAGTATCTACACCAAAACATCAACCCCTTAACTTCAGGTTTTGTGATCCACATGTTGAATCAACCAAATCAAGAAACAATGTTTACAGCTTCAGAAATTAAAATGACTAAAACAAGAAAACCCCAATTTTTTTATTCAAACCCCTAATTTTTCTTGTAAAAGAAGGAGATGGAATCAAAACCTTGCCGTTGATTACTCCATTCTCAGAAGGAGAAATACATGGATGCAAACGTCCTTTGAGTCTATACAAGTGACTGCAAAAAACCCAGAAATCAGATTTTATCAATCTTGAAAAAATCTAAGCAGAAGGAAGATAAGATCGGAGAAGTGAAGAGAGACGACTAACTAGCCGTGGAGTTGAGCGGAGACGATGACCGGAGAACATTCAAGAATCAAACTTACGACGGCTGGTTCTTGGAAACTGCCGTAGACGAAGACGTTGTGCGACGGAGATTGATCAGAGCTAGTCATCCTTCCCGATTAATTTTTTTTCCTCCACTCAGAAGGTGACATCTGTGAAACTGAACCGATCCAGAAAACTCAATGGACTGATACGATCCAACCCATTTTCTGTCCAAATTTATTTTTTTTTTCATTTTTTTAATGAGGTAAAACCCACCCAAACTCACCAATAAACATGCTCTAAATATCTTTGTAAGATATGAACAAACACGCCAAGTCGCCAAGTGTCGTCTTGAGTTCTTTATCAAAGAAATTGTCGTCTAGAGTTCAGTAACTTGTATACTTTTTTATTTGTTGATCCATACTACTTTACGGGGCAAGTCCCGAAGCATAAGCATAGATTTAACACTATATTTTGGGATCAGAACAACTATATATATTGATTAGACACGACGATAAAGGAAAAAAAAAATGCAGGCTGTGGGGTTCGAACCCACGCGCACTTATGTGCAGAAGAACTTAAGTCTTCCCCCTTAACCTCTCGGGCAAACCTGCGCTATTGCTTCAATGTTTCATTTATACTTTTATATATGATTATTCATAACTGTTGTTTGAGAAAATTTAGCTAATTCTCCAGCCCAATAAAAAACTTACACACTAAAAAACATATAGGCCCAATTACGTTAGAATCAAAAGTACTTTTTTTTTTCGTATTTACTGAAATGTAGGTTTTCATCTTCTCACAAAGACATACGCATGGATTCATATTATCTCTTTATCTATTTACAGTAATCTGAAGTACTTGGGAGGTAAAAAACAGTAACTGTATTAACAAAACAGCTGCACTGTGTTAGGCCTTAGTGATGATCCTCCTGATTCAAGTGACTGCTGCTTGTAAATTATTAATGGGCTGTGAAGTATTATTCTAGGCCCAATTGAGTCAGTCACTAATGCAGATTTAACGGGGTGTATTGACGGCGTTAAAACGGCTTCTCAACGGAATCGTAGACACGTGATTTTATAGTTTCCCGGTTTGGTCATGCGTTCCTTCTTTTCCACTTGCGCGGACCACTCAATGACACTCTTCTTTTTGTAGCAGTGGCCCGACAATAGAATGCAGCATTTAATCCCTCAAATTACCATTTCATCTCCACCTCTTTAGCCCTTTTGTTTTCTTGTGTTTTTTGATTTCGTGCGAAAAAAGATCTCTTCCTTAATCGTATATTACTTTGCTCTTTTCCAATATCTACTTTTATTGTGTTTTTTTTCTATTTTTGGTAGATTACATTATTGATTATTTTAAAAAATAAAAGATGAGCTAAGACGACATTAGTGTTGTTAACCAAAAATTGGAAAAACGTTATGAGACTAATTGAGAGAGATAAGATTCTTTTACTCAGTGAAAAGAGAAAAAAGAAACAAGTGGTCCCTAATAAGAAGCTCACGTACGGTCAGATACAACTTTAATACAACTGTGTAAACTCGATAGATCGTGCAGTAATATTGAGTTATGGTTAGAAGGAATTTATTTGCAAAGTAAACTCAAGCCTGTTTTTTTTTTTTTTTTTTTTCACATTAAAACCAAAAAAAAAAAAAAAAAGCCTGCTTTTTTTTCTCTTCGTTTTTCTTTTCTTTTCAGTTTTATAAAATCAGGCTACTTTTTTGACTCAGCAACACTCTCTCTAATACCAGTCGTTAGCTTAGTCCGAAAATATAGCATTATTATAAATAAAAAGTTACATTAAAATTAAAGTCGCAACAGTTTTATGTTTTGAATCGTGCAAGGGTTTATTTTATTGTGTGGATTGATAAGTAAGTTTGCTTAAATTTAGGAGTAATTTGACCTATTCCTATGAGTTTCTAAGTGAATTCTGTTGGAGTCAAAGTAGCAGCAACTAGTTAAATTAGTAGAGGGAATCGTCTCCTTTATTTACGCATAGTTCAGTTTAGACACTCAGTCTCAATGCTTTCACGTTTCAAGTTAACTCATCTGGATGATTGTATTTGTGGGGAAAAATAATTCAATTCTAATTTAAATAAAATGACAACTCTCTTAACAAAAATATGTATCATGTAGATTTTTTAATTTCTTAAAACAATATATATATTCATCAGTTTCTGATCGTGGATAAGTTGCAATTCAGTGAAACTCTGCAACACTTTGTGCAATTATTTGGCTGTCTAAAGTATTTGTGAGAATTTTACAGTCTAATTGTTCCAGTATTTCATTTACTTGTCATCAATCTATATATATATTTTTGGAGTACACTTAGCAAATAAATCATAGAGTTGCTAAGTATTTACAAAGAATGTCATTGGCATTTATTATTTACTCTTACAAAATTTAAATAAAAGATATTAACCAAACAATATCTTGGCTAATTTGTTTTTAAAAATTTCTACACAATCTTTCCATATATCTTCAAAAAACTTTTATAGCAAATATTTATATTAATATTTTGCATAGTAATAAAAATACTAATTTATAATTATCAAAATATTCACATAGAAAAATTATATACACATACAAGAAAAAAACTATATATGTCATCATTTAAGCTGTTGCTTTATTTAAATAAAATAAAAACACAAAAACCTGAAATCATATATTTTATACAGTGTTCTAAAAAGCGGTCTAGGCGGTCGCCTAGGCCCCGACTAGGCGCTAGGCTCTCATGCGACGCCTAGATAACCGCCTTGACCGCCTAAAATTACATAGATCTTGTTTAATGTATTTTTTCAATTTCAATTAGAGTTTTATTTATATATATAGTTATAAATATTCATATATTGTTTAATATAAATATAAATAAATATTTTATCTAATTTTTATTTATAATTTCATAATTTTTAGTTTTATATAGATATTTTATATAACTTTTATATATAATATCATATTGATAATGTTTTATGTTATAAACGTCTAAACCGCCTAAAAAATCGTCTAGGCCCCGATTAGGCGTTCTAGGCGCTAGGCACTGGGTCACCGCCCGCTTAGCGCCTAGCGTTTTCTTGAACACTGATTTTATATGATAAATTTAAAATATATATTAGTAGTATAAATTTAAAATCATTCAAAGAACGGTATACCACGGGTGAGATCCTAAAATTATTGGATTTTATTACAATAATAATTTATTTTCTTGGATTTTATAACACTAATAATTTAGCTAATGGGATAATATAGACGGGTTTATATGGAATGACGGGTTTGGGTCGATATTAATAAATAACGGTATATCAAGGATGAAATCCTAAAATTAACAATCAAAATACAATTATACAATCTTAAACACAAAACAAAAGAAACAATATTAACAAAACAAATACAACTTAAAATTTTTAGTTATTAAAAAACCGACCCACGGTATACTTCGGAGTCAAATATTCAAAATTTTAAAATCCACCATACATCGTTACTTAAAAAAATGTATGTTTTCGTATCTATACTTTAAAAATTGAAACCTAAACAATAGTAATCATACACTAGATAATACATAGATAGATATCTACATTTAAAAATACAAATTAATATGATATATCTTCAGTTAAACTTTAAAAAATAACATTATATTTTTTTTTTAAATATAGCCCCGCGGTGTACCGCGGGTTAAATTCTAGTTTATTATATTTGTAACAAATCGGCGATATAGTTTTTCGTTGTAATTAAGGAACCAAAATAAATTGATATCTTGAAATTTATAACAGTCACTAGAAAACAATTTTGAAAATCAGATTTTTGGATTTTAAAACGGTGATAATCACTTTCAAACAGTGAATCAGACTCAAACTCTTTTGTAATTTTAATTTCAAATTAAATTTTATCACTAAAGTAGTATTATTAAATAAAATGTGTAACAGTTATAAATTATGATAATAATATATTTAATAAATTACGCCGTGTGTCACATTCTTCTAAATTACAATTATGAATTTCTAAAACTCATTCATAGGAAATTCTTATAAATCATAGATAATATATTTATTTTGGAAATGAAGCGTGTTTAAAATTTTCTAAAATATGATAAAAGTATATATTAACTATTAGGAAATTCTTATAAATCATAAAAGTATATATATAGTAAAATTTCTTTGCAAATTTAATTCTTCATATTATTATGATAAAAGTATATATTAACTATGCCCTATAAGAAATCTCATCATAATATGAAGAATTAAATTTGCAGAGAAAAATATAGGATTTGTATTTGGGAGAAAATAAAAAGGACTGGATTTGCAAAAACGATAAAGTAACTTCATGTATATTGTCTTCCTTATATAACTACTCTCTATAAACTATTATCTAAAATTTTGTCTGGACTCTGAAACTCCCAAGACTTGACTCTGGCTTACTTGGCTTCATCTTTTTTTCTCTGGTAATCTCTCCTGCAACTTCAAGCTCTCATTTTCAGATTATTTTTTAAAACAAATCTGTTATTTTCACTCAATAACTCATTGAGTTTTCTCTCCCTTTCAATTGAATTTGACATTATAATTAAAAGATTTTGAAGAGGTTTCACCTACCACAAAAGAATCACTTCTTCATCCAAATATGGTTTCTTTCAGTGACCAAAAATAGAGGCTGGTTTGTTTCTTCGTCTTTTTCCTGATCTGTAATTCAATTTTTGTATCTTCCACAGGTAAATTGTGATTGAACAGAGAAGAGGACAAGTGATCTTGTTTCAAAGTTATGGAAGGAGAAGTGAGAGAGAAAGACGGTAGCGTTCAAGGGAGACGATCAGAGACAGAATTTATACATGGTCTGTCACAAGAGCAATCAATATTTAATTACATGCAACACAACCATCAGCCTGAATCAGACAGGTTTTGTGCCTTTACTGCTTTAAAGTGATTTACTCTGTTCTAATGGGGTTTCTTTGGTGATTCTGTTTTGTTTAAATTCTGCAAAAGGAAGAAAATAAATCAGACACTGTTTAGCAACATTGAGTAAAAATGCAAAAACTGAGATATATAACAAATGCAATTTTGATGAACTGGTTTTGGGCGGTATGATCTTTGTGTCTGTCTATGCAATTACCTTTTAAGGAGAGATGTGAACTGAAACTGTTATTGATCATTGCAGGAGGAGGCTTAGTCTCGAAAACATGTCTTGTACACAGCTCTTGGCTCTGGCTATTAACACGGTCGCCACGAGTTCATCAATTGATGCACCACTGCTAAAACCAC